TTAGAGAATAGCAACAAAATTAGCAGTACAGGGATAACCACAGAAAACAGACACAATCCTGCCAAATTAGAGTTGTCAAAATCGCGGCCGGCGGGAAGGGATTTCGTGTCACTTTACAAACACGCCGAGACGCGAGCACTGTGCCCCGGACTCTGCTGACAGGGTTTGCGATGAGGAGCGACCCGAAGGGTTTCTGTCAACAGCTGTACGTTATTCACTCTCCTCGCGATATTGCTGGGCGTGGGATTCATTCAAAACTCAACAGCCTTTTCACACGGGGTACGGCGGCCCACTCCTCCCGGGCTGTTGTGGGGTGCTGTCGACCCTCGTGCGGTGGAAGAAGCTCGCAAAGACGCGCGGTCGTTGTGGCGACAGGCGCGCCGACGCAGCAGCCCACGCAGTCGCCGGCTCCCGACGACTTGCAGAGGGCGCCGCGGACGCGGGCGGCGGCGCCTCCCGATCCGTCGTGACCAGCGGGAGCGCCTTGCACAGCGGACACGAGGGCAGCCACTCGGAATGCCGCCGCTCGCCCAGCCACTGGGAGATGCACTTTCTGGCGGTAAGAATTTCTTTCGGTGGAAAATGTGTTGGCACGGCAACAGCCGAAGCTGCTCTGCGGGCGGGACAAGCGCTGCATACATCCCCTCTGTTCATGTCCGCCGCGCCAGCTCGCACCGGCGCCAAACGCCGCACACCGCCTCCTCCGTCGACGAAGCGCGGCGGCGACGTCCCTGCAAGCATTCGGGAGGCCGCCACGGATGGCCAAGCGGGAGCGGTGCTGGCGTGGTTCGACGGCGGCGGGTGGGTCGACGCGACCTTCGAGTACACCTTTGAGGACGGCTCTCGCGCGAGCGGCATGACGCTGCTGATGGTCGCAATGTCCAATGGCCACGAGGAGCTGGCCGAGGCGCTTCTGCGGCGCGGTGCAGATGTCTCGTTGCAGAAGAGCGACGGTGGCACCGCGCTGTGCCTTGCCGCCGCCAACGGCCGCGAGGAGATGATCGAGCTGGCGTTGCGGCACGGCGCAGAGATCAACCTGCAGGCCAACGACGGCGACACCGCTCTGATGTTCGCCGCCCTCGGCAACCATCCCGCCGTGGTGCTCCGCTTGCTGCGGGCGGGCGCAGACATGACGCTCCGCTCTAGCGGCAAGACGGCGCTGCAGATTGCCAAGGAGGAGGGCCACGCCGAGTGCGTTGAGGCTTTCAGGACGTATCTCGGGGAGGTAAAGGCGGCGCGCAGCAAGGCGCCATCATCGGTCGAGGCGGGCGGCGCGGGGACGAGCGGCGCACCCGCAGGCGAGGCGGAGGCGGGCGCCAGTGCCGTGGCCTCTGCTTCGAGCGGCGAGGGCGCAAAGGCCGCGCCGGGCAGCGAGGCGGTGCCAAAGGAGGTCGTGTTTGCGGCTGGGCGAGGAGACGAGCCGCCGGTGCTGGCGTGGCTCGACCGCGGCGGGTGGGTCGACGCGGCGTTCGAGCACACCTTTGGTTGCGGCTCTCGTGCGAGCGGCGTGACGCTCCTGCTGCTCGCAATGGCCAATGGCCACGCGGAGCTGGCCGAGGCGCTTCTGCGGCGCGGTGCGGATGTCTCATTGCAGACCAATAGCGGTGGCACCGCACTCATGACCGCCGCCGTGAACGGCCGCGAGAACCTGGTCGAGCTGGCACTGCGGCACGGCGCGGAGATCAATAAGAGCACCTGCACGACCGGCTGCACCGCGCTGATGGACGCCGCCTACAAAGGCTACGAGCGGGTTGTCGACACGCTGATCCGGCATGGCGCGGAGATCAACCTGCAGACCAGCGTCGGCGACACCGCGCTGATGCTCGCCGCCCTCGGCGACCGTCCCGCCGTGGTGCGTCAGCTGCTGCGGGCGGGCGCGGATACGACGCTGTGCTCTGAGATGGACAAGACCGCGCTGCAGTGGGCCAAGGTGAAGGGCCACGCCGAGTGCGTGTGCGCCCTCGAGGAGCACGCGGCGGCCAAGGCGGCGGCCGAGAAGGCGGCGAAGGAGGCGGCGTGGGCTGCGGGGGCGGCGGAGAGGGAGGCGCAGAGGGCGGCGGAGGAGAAGGAGGCGGCGCGGCACGCCGACGAGCTGCTGGCGGAGGTCGAGGCGGAGAAGCGCGCCAAGGGCAAGAAGGGCAAGAAGAAGAAGAAGAAGGGCGGAGGGGCGGGCGCGGCTGGGCCGTCGCAGGAGACGGAGGAGGGTGCTGAGGCGCCGGCAGAGGCAGCTGAGGCTGCAAGGAAGGCCGAGGAGGAGAGAATGATCAGGCTTCTCGAGAAGTGTCACGAGGAGAGGATCCGGTTCGGCATCACGGCGGCGAGCCAGGCGGCGGCGTCGGCAGTGGTGGCTAAGGCGGTGCGCTTGGACGCTGAGGCGGACGAGGCGGAGGAGGAGGCGGAGGCGGACGAGGAGGCGGCGGCGGCGGCAGAGGCGGCTCGGGCGGCGGCGGCGCAGGCGCAGGCGGAGATCGTCGCAGCGCTGGAGGAGGCCAACGCGGCGCTCGCGGACGCGACGGCCGCTGCAGAGGCGAGCGCTGCTGTTGCGGCTGCTTCGAAGGCCAAGGCGACCGCTGCCAGGATGGCCGCGGATGCAGCCGAGCAGCAGCGCTCGTGACGTGAGAGCTGCTCGGGTGGCTCTCAGGATAGTATCCCGTCGATCACGATCTGTCCGCCGCGTGGCGAGACTGAGTGAGAGTTAAGGACAGACTGTCGCACGCGAGAGAGCTGCTATGTTTCATATGACTTATTCATATGTGAAGTCAATGCTTTCGGGCGCCTGTGAGCTGTGTGACGGCCCCGATCCGCGAACACGCGCGCCGCTTTGTGAACAATTTTCTCGCAACCCATCGAATATACCGGAATAGCACGTATGAGTGCCCAAAAGTGCGACGCTCGGAGGTTGTCACCCTTTGCTACCGCTAACCCGACGCGTCCATCCGCGCCACGATGGACTTCGCGAGCTCTATGTTCGCCTCTGAGGCCATCGCCACAGGCGGCGACGGACGGACATACAAGGCTCGAGCGGCGGCAGCGGCTCAACGGCCGCCGGCGGCCGTCGTGTGCGTTTGCTTTCGCCATACGTGGCGCACCCCCCGGCGTCTGCTCTGCTTTGGGGGCGGAGGGGAGGACTCTCATGTGCGGACTGTTGGGCTCTCTGTGTTGAACTGGCGCTTGTGCCCGAACCACATCAGTCTGACCGAGCGGCACGCCGCCGCTGGGGGCGTGAGGAGGCCGCGGGGGACGGCGGCGAACCCCATCCTTCGATATAGGATGGGCCCTCACGGCGGCCCGTCTGCTGCTGAAAATGTGGCGTGTTGGGGGCTCTCCTGTGTGACTCCTCTGGCTCGCCACGTTAAACTGGCGCCTGTGTGTGACCAACCCCAACCCCGGCAAGCGCCCCCCGGCCGCTGGGGCTGCGAGGCGGCCGGGTGAGCGCGCGCGAGACGCCATTCTATTTGTAAGGATGCCATCCTATAATATAGAACGGCCAGGTAGGGCTGAGACCGGTCTCTGACATGGTACCATCCTCCTTGCCTC